TAAATATATATTGTTATTTGCCCTCAATTTAGAACCAACCCATAGCTGATCCTCCATTAAGTTTTCAGAGGCATTTTGGTCACATGAGAGGACATTGCCCATTTTTTTTTCCTATGGAGCTGCTGGTGATTTTGCACTGTAGGAGCTGCTGGTGATTTTGAACTGTGTGCCTTGGTGATTGCAGTGCAATTCCTTACCAATAGACCACCAGAGCTTCTTAGATATAGTTATGGATATAGATTTATAAATATGGCAGGGATTTGTATTTCTTCCCATTCCTAAGAGAGGTGATTCAACAAAAAGTGGAAATTATGGAACAGTGTCACTAATATCACATGGAAGCAAAATATTGATGAAGATTATGCAAAAACTGTTAGAACAGATATATAGAGAACTTCCAGAAGAGGCTATATCACCAGAGAGTTAGTTCATTGTTGATGTCAAATGGATCCTGGGTAAAAGCAGAGATTAGGTAAAGAATGTCTATTTGTGTTTTATTGACTATGCAAAGGCATTTGGCTGTAAGGACCGTAACAAATTATGGCTAACACTGAAAAGAATTAGAATCACAGATCATTTAATTATACTTATGCAAAACCCGTATTTAGATAAAGAGCCTGTTGTATAAACAGGACAAGGAAACATTTTAAAATGTAAAATGGTTTAAATTAATTTTATAAAGTTTAAAGTTTATAATTAAGGTTAAATTAGTTTTTAAAAGTTTCAAATTTAAAATTAAGAAAAGTGTGTGTCAAGGTCATATCCTTTCTCCATAACTATTCAATGCTGAGCAAATGATTCAAGGAGCTGGACTCTATGAAGAAGAATGTGGAATCAGGATTGGTAGATGACTTATTAACAGTCTTCATTGTGCATATGACACAACCTTGCTTGCTGAAAGTGAGGAGGATTTGAAGTGCTTTGTGGAGAGGATCAAAAACTTCAGCCTTTAACACGGATCACATGTCAATGTCAAGAAAGCAAAAATTCTCACCGCTAGACTAAAATAGACTGCATCATGATAGATGGAGATAAGATTGAAACTGTCAACAACTTCATCTTACTTTAATCCAAAATCAGTATACTTGGAACTATCACTGAGGATATCAGCAGGCATATTGCAATGAGGAAGTCTGAAGTTAGAGACCTCTTTAAATCATTGAGGAGCAAAGATGTTAGTTTGAAGACTAAGTATGCCTGATTCAGGCCATCATCCTTTCATCATTAGCTATACTGCTGAGATCAGAACAATGAATAAGGATGACATAGGAAGACTTGATGCCTTTAAACTGTGCTGTTCGAGAAGAGTGCTGAAGATCCCGTGGACTGTCAAAAGAACATACAGATATGTGTTGGAGAAGGTCTAGCCAAAGTGCTCCTTGGAGGCAAAGGTGATAAAGTTTCATCTCACATACTTTGGGCATATTGCTAGAAGAGTATATTCCTTGGAGAGGGACATAGGATTTGGGCAGGGGGAAAGATGGCCAAAATAGGAAGATCCTCAACTAGCAGGACTGACAAAGTTACTGAAAGAATGGACACACTTGAGTGTGTCAAAGATTGTGAGGAAAGCACAGAATAGTCCAGGGTTCAGATCTATTGTTCATACAGTCACTATAACTCGTACTTAACTCAGTGGCATCTAACAACAATAACATAGGGATAGAGATGCTATTGTTGTGTATGATTGATTCAGAACTGACTCATGGCAGTTTCCAAAGCTATAAATGAAACAGAAGAAATTGTTTATCTTTCTACCAAGCAGCTAGTAGATTCAAACAACTTGCCTTTGGAATAGTAACAGAACTTCCTTCAACTAGACCACCAGATATCTATCTATCTCCATCTCTCTCTGCGCTCGCGCTCGTGCTCGCTTGCTCTCTCTCTTGTTCTCTCTCGCTCTGTCTCCTCTCTCACTCTCTTTCTTGCTCTCAATCTCTCGCTCTCGCTCTCGTTCACTCTTGCTCTCTCTCGTTGTCTCCTTCTCTCTCTCTCTCAATATCTCTCTCTCTCATCTATCTTTTATCTATGGGCACACAGTTCGAATTTGCCACTTGCTCCATGGGACAAAATTGGCAGTATCCTTTCGTGTGATGAACTGCCTCTGAAAACCTGCTGGTGGGTCAGGTATAGACCAGTTTCAACTTTACAATACACAGCAACAATAACAAGATAGATATATTTCAATATATCAAGATGTATGTTTTTATATGTATATAAATTCTATCTCCACTGGGGATTATTTATTAATAACAATTCTACATTGATTCATTTTTCTAATAACATTGACTCATTTTTATAATAACCTTTTCAGTTTTGTTCTTGAGCTGCTCCAGATGAAAGAGTCATTTGTATCTTCTGTAAAACAGAGCATGTGATACCCTTTTATGAAATAGTTGGATGCCTTTCAGCTGGAGATAAGACATCCATGTCAGCCTTCTGGCTTGGGGAGCCCATTTGCTGAAATCGGAACATCACAGTTCTTTCGTGGACAATCTCTCTATTATCATCCCTAAAACTTCATAGTTGTTGTGGATTCTGTTACTAAAAGTAGTAGTGAAAATATAAAGTTATGATAATATTATGTAAAACAAAAAAATTACACTGTTGATTATCATTGGAGATATGGCAGCATAATCTATAGGTGTGCAGATAACCCACAGGCCACATCTCTCTGGTGGTTTGAATCCACTAGTGCCTTGACATAAGAAAAATGGACAGTCTCATCTGCAATTTTCAGCCTCAGAAACCCAATGGAGGTCAGCTCTGAATCAGTTCTTGCTCAAGGGCACTGAGGTTTATTTGAGGATTTTTTTTCCTTTTCTTAATTTCTAAAAAATTCCAACTTGTGTTTGCCTTTGCAGCTTAACTGTCTCAGAAAAAGACCTGTTTCCACTCCCTTTCTTTAATCTTAACAACCAAATACAGTGACTTTCAGTGTTTCTTTGAGACATGGTTGAAACGATGTTATTTTCTGGGAGTGGATAGTTTCTGACAGAAACCATCTGTCTTCAGGACTTCTTGAAGTGCAATCAACCTCCTTAACAATGAGCAAATAAGTTTAGATAACTAGAAATAAATGCTAGACTATCAGAAAGTACAGGACAAAACACTTAGGTGGAGAGCAGGGCATCATGGATCCAGGACTTTTGACAGTGATGGCCAAGGAAAGTTAGATTGAGTGAAATGGATGCAATATAGGGAAACACAGAAAAAGATAAGATCCCTCAGTTTGATACTACTACACCAATTAAGTCTTCCACTCACGTTTCAACGGTTAAAGAATCTGAGTAATTTGTTAAATGCTAAGGTAAATAATCAATTTAATGGAATTCATAAAATTCATTTATTTATTTCCTAGCTAGTGAAAATGTCGTGATCAATCATTTGTTCCAGTCGAAGCTGTCACAAACAGGATCCCTCATATCTTCTTATCCATCCTTTAAATTTCGAGGATACAAATCCGCTCTTCTTAATAAGAAAATGACATCTTCTTCAATTATTGGTGAAAACAAAAATTATCTGGAGCTCAATAAGGTAGGAGGTTTTTGTGATTCTTGTTCTGCTGTTTTTAAATTGGCTTAGCACAATTGCTTTTCTAAAAAAAAGGAAAGAAGATACACTGTTTTGAATTCTAAATGGAAGGTGTTGATATGCTTGTTGGAAAGAAAAGAGATCTACTTGCAGTAAAACCATTAGAGAAGGGAGGCACATAAGACTGTACAGTGTAGTGAAAATTCAATAGCAGATACAATAGTAGACATTTTATTGGTTGTCTCTGTGACATAATATTTATGTTTCATCTATATGACTGTCTTTTTGATGAATGGGAAGTAACTTCAGAGATAGTAGACTTAGAGGGAATAAACTTAGCTTCCTCTTTCTCTTGACATTAATCACTTCAGAAGTCTCTAAGCATTAAATCGTAGCATTCTTTCTTTAAAAATATACCACAGTGTATTTTTTTAAATCTTAGAAGATGTTTACTATGTACTTTGTAAATTTTTAACTTTTTAAATTTTAAATGTTTTTAATATATAATTTTTATTGTTTCCATCCTGTACTGATTTGGTTGTATGTACAGGCTAAATATTCTCGCTGTTCATAAATAGAACAAAATACTGAGTAAAGAGTTAATTCAAGTTGATAGTATGAATGAAGCACTTTAAGTTTCTTATGAGTACTTTGCATGGTTATATCTTAGTTTGTGCTGCTCGCCTTTGCCAAATTTATAAAGATGTGAAATATAATTGGGAAGGTATCCAGGAAAATCAAGTTAAGAAATTCAATGGCTGCACCTTGCTGGAATGCATTTTAGCTCACCAATTAAAATAAAAGTATCATTAAATGCAGCTCCAATTTGGAAAAGTGGCAGAAAACCATATAACATATAAGGACTGTGTATGTGTATTTAATCAGTAAATCTAAGAATTGTGGATCTGTTAGTATAGTTGTGCCAGAAGGAAAAAGTTGTGCCTTTTTTTATTTATAAAATGACAAAGGATAGCCATTGTTAAGATAAAGCTCTATTCCTGATGCCCCTAACCTTCCTTTCTCAATCTTTCTGGCAATCAGAAATAAGAAAATCACTACGCATTTCTTAACCGTAACTTTTAATCTTAATTATTAAACATTATGAGACATGAATGCCATTAGTGTTTTCCCTGAAGGACTGCAAACGAGAGATAACTCAGTAGTTTGTCTACTCCAAAAAGATAATGAAGTATTCACTTGCAAGTGTAGGGATTTATTTGTTATTATTTCTTAAGTGTTCCATTCCTCATTTCCCTTATTTCTTCATTTAAAACAGCCTTCAATTTTCAGCACTCAACCTTATAAACTAGTAGGGATTAGAATTTACTGACTGGTTAGCAGATCATCACCCTTGTGATTTCCTTGGTAGAGAAGAGGTTGATCTTGTGCTAGTCCTTTCATCCTTCTTTCCCTTGTCAATTGCAATTACTCATTTTAGCTTGACAGTTAATCTCACTTAAAGGAAATAAATTACCGACACCAATTTGGTGCTGTGGCACCAATTTGATTAGATTTTTTTTTTCTTATATCAAGAGATTTTTTTTTTATTTTTTAAGATAAAGGTTTTAGATCAGTTAAGATATTATTCTACATTTCAATACAATTTTGTGAAATGCAATGTTATATTAACTGGCTGAGGCTCCTCTACCCAGTAGTAGAATTTCATTAATCACTTCTTGCCCTTTATGTCTTTATTACTCTTACTTCCCCTAACCTCTTTCATTTCCATTATTATTTAATCTCTGTCATGTGTAGATTCCTCCCCCTTTTAAAGTCTATGTGTAATTGCTTATAAAAGAAAACATGACCGACCTGTCGCTATGTTTTACAGACAGGGTATTTGCTCGTTCCTTTCTAGTAGCTTGGTCTGTAGGGAGTTGCATAGCAGCTCGAAAATCATGTCTATCTGGCTGTTCAGCTCCACTGAAGACAACCTGAGAGAAAGATGGGCAGTCTCCTCCCAGGTGATTTACAGCCTTGGGAACCTAATGGAAGGTTAGCTAAGCCAATTCCAACTCAAACGCAATGAGTTTTGCATACTTTAAGAAAACGAATATGTTTTAAAGAACTCATTACAACTCATATATCCACTGAATTACTTATTGTTGTTTACTGTCAAGTCAGACCAACCCTTAACGGACCCTTCAGCAGGTCTTCAGAGGCAGTTACTAGAGTGGGAAGAGATTGCTCACTTTTCTCCTGTGGAGCAGCTGGTAGATTCGAAGTGCAAGCCTTTGTGTTGGCAATGCAATTCCTTACCACTAAGCCACCAGAGGTCCAACAGTTATGAATTATATATAATATTAGGGAAAACATTGATTGATGAAGAATCAAATATTTGTAACATAAAGTAGTAACTTTTGTCCAGAGTAAACCATATTTCATAATAGATGTGTAAATGTGGGAAGTTAGCAATACAGCCCGAATACCTGCGTGTACTTACTATAAAACAAATCAAATGGGAATGTATGTGTCTGTTTATTATCAAATTGAAATGAGTGCAGGGTATTGGTAGATCTGATTTCAAATTTTAAACTTGAAAGGATGACTGTAATAGCTTTTCTACATGCATTTTGAACATTTCTCAAATTATAATACTATCATAGAAACTCATGTGGAACTGATTTGTAAAATCCTTAATTTCAATTCATATTTGCCTTTTAGTAATTTTTATATAGAGTAGGAGGGTTAATGCTGCAATTTAAGAAAATAAACCTGCTCATTTTTCTTTGTTTTTGTTTTCACTGCAGTTATTAAAAAAGAAAGGAACGTCCACATTCCTTCAGAAACTGGAACGAGGTGGTCCGGTCTCCATAGCATCCCAACTCAGGGTTCGTGGCAGCTTCTAATTACACTTGGAATATGATCATATAAATTGTAAAGGGCATACACTGAATAGCATGCCTCACTTTTTAGTTTGCTTGAGCACCTTTTAGAGGAAAATGAATAACACACACAAGAAGAGTGAGTTCTATTGTACATAGAACTGTTGGCAAGAGGGAGGGTGGAATCCTGTATTATTAATCAGTCTGATCATACAAATTTGAGTTTTGTTCCATATGCTCTTCCCATCCTATTAGAGCTGAAGAAGCAGGTATGGCTACTTTACTAACCATCCTCTTATTGTATATTGTCAACGCAGTATCACTAAAGAAAGGGAAGACACAGTGAAGTATAGAAGGGTTAATAGGAATCAGAATTATAGGGAATAAGCCAGAAAAGTGCAAGTTTACTAGGGAAAACAATTACTATTAAAGATAAACTGTGTATGAATGTTTAAATAGAAAATGAATTTCCTCTATGCCTTTCACTCAAACTACAATAAAAAAAATAGTTGTATACGACAGATAAATTTTTTTTTAATTGAAACACAGATTTGCATTTGTAGCCAGTATCCCCTTTGTGAATGACATAGTCTTTGCTTCTCTCCTTAGAACTCTCTAAAGGATATTATTGGGAAACTTCAAAAGTGCACTCCACACTTTATTCATTGCATCAAGCCCAATAACTCAAAACTGCCAGATACGTTTGATAATTTCTATGTGTCTGCTCAACTACAATACATTGGGGTACTAGAGATGGTGAAGATCATTCGGTACGGATATCCTGTCCGCCTTTCTTTCATGGATTTCCTGGCAAGGTAAGCCCTTCTGCTTACAAGCATTGTTATATGCATTATTCAGTGTGGTGTAATGTTGATATGCTAGCAGAAATCTTCCTTTTTGTTTTGGCACATTATTGTTATCATTTATATTCTTCAATTTCATATAAAGAAGAGACTATGGAAATGAGTGAAATATATTAACAAAATTTATTTAGAAGCTTACTAAACCTTTCTGAAGCTATCTTAGAAATCATTCCTTGTATTCAAAGGTTTTAAGCTGTTGAAATTATTTCAAATGTATTATCTTCACCTTTATATATATGAATGAAATATTATGTAGATCAGAAAAATACAATTTTGGCCTAAGCCAACTCATTTCTTATTTTAGCGTCTCTTATTTTTCAGAAAGAGGAATATATAGGGAAATAGGAACTTGATTGTAACAGTTAATTTTGTGCTTGTTTTGGTCAGAAATAAGGGGGTAATATCATTGCTAGTTGTATATTTTATATTGCAATATGAATACATTTCGATGGAAATCAAACAGTATTTTTTAAGTGATGGGCATGTTGATGGATGTGTCCACAGAAGAAAATGGGTAATCTCTGCCTGTGTGATTTATATCCTTGGAAACTTAATGGATAGTTTTAATTGTTATTTAATTTCTGTTCAACAACAATGTAGTTGTTGTATTAGGTGCCTTAAATCAAGTACGACCCATAGTGATCCTATGAATGACAGATCTGAGCCCTGTCCTATCCTATGCCATCCTCATCACTTCTGATAAATTTGAACCTAACTCTTCAGTCACTGTTTCAAGCTATCTCATTGAGAGGTTTTCCCTCTTTCATTGAAATCTTTCAATGAAATAACAATCAAGTTGAGTTAACTTAAAATTTCCTACACCTTATAGTTTGAGTACAAACAGATGTCTTGGAAAAGTACAGCCAGAGTTGGTCCTTGGAGGCAATGATGGTAAGGCTTTGTCTCACATACATTGAACATGTTACTGAAGCGGCTATTTCTTGAAAAGGGACATCATGCAAGGAAACGTGAATGGTCAGCAAAAGAGAGAAAACCCTTCAATGAGCTGAACTGACACAGTGGACTCTTAGGTTAAGCAGTTGTGCCCCAATCCAAAGACAAGCAGTTTGAATGTGTGTGTGTGTGTGTGTGTGTGTGTGTGTGTATACATACACACACTAGCTACCCTGTAGTGTGATTTACAGCCTCTGAAAACCTATTGGAGGGTGAACTAGCACTGACTCAGTGGCACATCACAACATTATTCACATAGCAACAGCATTCCTTTAAGTAGTCACTAGAATAAGGATTTTTAAGCTGGCCTATACATAACTATAAATAGTAGACTCTCCTATTTCACTCCAGACCTTTTAAATGATGATTAGGAGTGGCTGAGATTCAAGAAATTCTAGGTGTGAACGTTTATATATATTTCAGTAGGAAGTAGAATTAAAAGTCACTGATCTAGAAGCCCTGGTGGCACAGTATCTTACATCTTGGATTATTAGCCAAAATATTATTGGTTCAGGTCTACCAGATGTTCGGTGGGAGAAAAATGAGCCATCTCCTCTCATAAAAATGTACAGCCTAAGACATCTAATGGAGGATCCCTGTGAGTTGACTCTAGCAGTGAATGTTTGTGTTTATTTCCGTTTGCCTAGTGGGTAGGGTGTTGTGCTGCCAACCCAAAGACAAGAAGTTCTAATCTACAATCTACTCCTCAGGAGAAAGATGGTCAATTTACGTGGAGTTTACCTTTGAAAATATGATTGCAAGATTCCTGGTTGCATACTGGTTAAAAAGAATTTAGCTTCAAATTAAAAGGTTGGCAGTTTAAATCTCTGAAGACAAAAGATAAGGCTGTCTGCTTCAACAAAGATTTACAGCCTTAGAAACTTTATGGGGCAAATCTACTCTGTGTTGTAGAGCCATTATGAGTCATAATCTAATTGAAAACAATAGGGTTGTTTTGTTTTTTCCTCTCCTTTTGTTTTGGTCCTTAGAAGGTGTTTACTGTTCATGTAATTGGCTACCATTTTTAAGGCCAGCAATTTGGTGCCCTAAAGTTGTTGGAAATACAAAATGTCAGGCCTCACCCCAGATTCACTGAACTACAAATTTATAGAATTGCGATTTGAACTGAATGCACTTGTACTCTTATAACCACTTTGAATAGATTCATATATTAGGCCCAAAATAGGTTTACTTTCACTCTGAATAATAAAGTGAGTAGATTTGTTTTCATTCTTTGTTTTGGTAGAGTGGCTTAGAACTATGGAATGCAAAGAGCCTTGTTTTAAAGGGCTTTTTTAGTGGTTCTCTAGAGCAAACTTTTGTTAAATACCTGATTCTTAGTTATATGAATAGCTTTAATTCCTCCCCAAAGTGGGCGAAGAACATGTCTCTGAGTATAATATCTATCTCTTTCTATTGTTGTTAGATATATTTGTGTCTTCATGTATTGTTGTTTGCTGTCAAGTTGTAACCAAACCATAAGCTGACCCTCCAGTGAGTTTTTAGAAGCAGCATATATCTATATCTATATAGCTATATCGATATAGCTATATATCTCTATCATCTATATCATATCTATCTATCTATCTATCTATCTATCTATCTATCTATCATCTATCTATCTATCCATCCATCCATCCATCTATCTCCGGTGAAGCTCCATCTTACATACTTTGGACATGTTGCAAAGTAGGATCTAGTCCTTGGAGAGGGACATCATGCTTAGGAGGGTGGAGGGACAGCACAAGAGTGGAAAACCCTCAGTGAGATGGATTGATTCCATCACTGGGGTAGTGGGGATAGACATGTCAGAAATAATAAGATTTGCAAGCAATAGAGACAAGTTAAGGGCTGTTGTACATAGGATTGCTATGAGTCGCAAGTGACTCAACGGCACATAACAACGTATCTTGTGGCCTAGTGGCAAAGAACTGTGCTGTAATCTCAAAGGCATGTAGTTCGAGGCCACCAGCTACTCTGCAGGAGAATAATGGGCAATCTACTCCTGTGTGATTAACTGCTTCTGAAAACTCACCAGATGGTCAACTTTGGACCAATTCCAACTTGATAGTACACAACTACGATAGACCTTTACATATAATGATTAAAACTCCCTTTTTTACCTTTTTCAGATTTTACTAAGACTAATCTATCATTATATATAACATGCCCAAAATAGTCCTCATTAAAATAGTTGATGCAAATAATATTTTAATTAAAATCATGTATATATATATGTATCTTTTAATATATTGTAGTTTCTTTATTCTTTTAAAAGAGATGTGATCCCCTGCCCATCATCCCTATCTGCAATATCATAACAAGAACAATGGGATTACTGGTTTATTTCAGTGGACAGTTGTTATTTGTTTTAAATAAAAAAACACCAGCTTATAAATGAAATTTTGGAAATCATTGATTGATAGAAATGATCAGGATTGTGTTGGTGCAAAAACTCTACTTAGACCAGGAAACAGTCAGAACACAGCCAGGAAACACTGCATGGTTTAAAATCATGAAAGGAGTGCATCAGGTATGCATCCTTTCACCATACCCTTTCAATCTATATACAGAACAGATCATTCAGGAGGCTGGAATTTATGAGGAGGAATATGATATAAAGATTTTAGGAAGACTCGTTAACAACCTGAATTATGTAGATGACACAACCTTGCTTAAAGAAACATAGGAGGACTGAATTGTTTACTGCAGAAGGTTAAGGATTGAAGCCTTCAATATGGATTAAAGCTCAACATCAAGAAGACAAAGATTCTCACTGCTGGACCAATTGGCAGCATGATGATGGATGGAGAAGAGATTGAGATTGTTAACAATTTCAGTTTGGTTGGCAACACTCTTGACTCTAGCAGATGAGAAATCAAAAGACAAATTAATCTGAAGAAGGTTGCTATCAGGGTCCTCTCCAAAGTGCTGAAGAGCATGATGTTATTCTGGTACATCTGATTCAGACCGTGGTCTTCGCAGTTACTTGCTATGCATGAGATATCTGGACAAAGACCAAAGACAACAGAAGAAGAATTGATGCTTTTGTGTTGTGTTGCTGGAGAAGAGTATTGAACATATCGTGGCTACCAAGAGAACAAACAGGCTTATCCTGACAGGATAAGTATTTTGAAGCTCCATTTCACATACTTTGGGCATGTGGCCAAGAGGGACCAGTTCCTGGAGCAGGACATCATGGTCATAAGGGTGGAGGGACAGTGCAGGAGACGAAGACCCCAGATGAGATGGACTGACAACGTAACCGGGATAATGGGAGTAGGTGTGTTGGAGACAGTGAGACCGTCTCAGGATAGAGATAGAGCAGAGTTCAGAGCTATTGTAGATAAGTTGTTTGCTGTTGTTAGGTGCTATCAAGTCACCTGTGACTGATAGTGATCCTATATATGATAGCTCTGAAGCCTGCCATGTCCTGAGCCAGTATCACTGACTCCAACATAACTACCATCATTGTTCCAGTCACTGTATCAATCCATTTCATCCAGGGTCTTCCTCTCCTGCACTATCCCTCCACCCTTTCAAGCATGATGTCCTTCTCCAGGGATTGGTCTCTCCTGGCCACGTGCCCCAAGTATATAGCTATATACATGTAGTTCACAATGAGTCACAGGCTACTTGATGGCACATAACAACAATAACATCAGCTTTCTTAGAGTTTGAACAAAATGCAACCTACAAAGTTTTACATCTAGAAAGAATATAATTTAATATTTCTTGAGCATTCAGAAAGCTCATCAGGACTTCGAAATATCCCTAGGCAAACTAGCATCATTATATAAACAAAGCCTAGAGGTGTAATTTAATCAGATTTTTCATTGCCAATATATCAGATAACAGAATTTATCACTCCAACATAAAATATTTAGTTTTTATTCATATCACCTTGCTTTAACTGTTACAGAATAAAACCTGTCAAAACAAATAATTTTGTTATATATAAAGCACAAAATGTACAAAATAACTTGATAACCAGACTT